AAATACTGGCAGCAGAGCAGTGTGAGAAAATGAAGTTCCAATGTCTAGTCTCCTGTGTGGACAAATGGGACCCCAGAAAATAAAGTAACAGAAAAAGTGTTCTGTCCAAGAGCTGAAAAAAGTTTTCTTTGTTCTTTTAAAGTGTAATCACTTAAAGCAAAATTTTTTAAAAGTCCTCTTTATGCATGTCTAATATAAAATGTCACTGTTTCTATTGTTACAGTTTATCCTGACATTTGCACCATTAGTCTAGTAGCTGTTGGGGATATGAACAAACATGTGGAGAAGCTACTTTTCTGGGAAGATGTATATGGCTTTGACATGTCTTGCATGAAGAAGGCTGTGATTCCAGAAGCTGTTGTGGAGGTGCTGGATCCAAACACACTGATATCTACAGCCAGTGTCATTAAGGTACTGTACTGCTTACTTTTTTGGTAGTCTGCTTAAGAAGTTGGCTTTTTTATTATGGCAGAGGGAAAAGAAAATACACACACACACAAGCTTGAGTATCTTCAAATAATACAAATGCAATAACATTCTTGGCATTAAGTCTGTAAGATTTATATTAATGGCTCTTTGTTACCAAGTTTGAGCTCTTAAAGTAATCTTTCCATATTTAGGTTGCTCTCTTCTGCGTTTTCTTCTATCCAAACCCAAATTTACTTGCATTTTACTAAGTTACAAGTTGCGTAAAGAAAATTTAATCTATACCAAAAATAAAAACCTGGCAGATCATCTACTTCTTTTCACATCAGTCAGTGTACCAATTTGTAGGGGGTCTTCTTACCTATTTCTCTCCTTTTTTCTTACCTGTTTCTTTGCCTATTCCTTTACCTATTCAAGCTGGATGGCTTGAAAGATCTTTCAGTGGAGGATTAGTTATTGTCACCTATAGCTTCATCCGACAGAATGAAAGCATCTGAAAAGACAACAGTAATTTTTGTAGTACTCATTGAATTAATTTTATGCTTCTTTTCTGTGTTGTCCTTTTTTCTGGCAGCTTTGTGATGGGAATAAGCAGTGAAGTTGGTAGTGAATCATATAAGAGAGCACCTACAGGACGAGATATCATTCCACAGCACTGACTAGTTTGAAATTTAGACAAACTTTGTCATTAGTAACAATTTGAACAGTTCAGATCAAATTGAGGGGACTATTTTAAAGCAAGATTTTTTGTCACAATTATATTCTAATTATTGTTCATATAGTTACTTACCTATTGTAAAACACTTAAGGCAGTAATGTTACTGCCCTCCAGTGGGAATTGCCTCTTTATTAAAGAGGTGATTTATATTTAAATGCATTCCTATGCTATTTTTATATAGAGGAAAATGGATTTGCATAATTCATCACTGAACTTGACACCATTACTGAGAGTAGTTCCAGTCTTCTCCAGCATAGAAACTACTTGCTGGGGTCAGTTGTCATGCTGCCACAAAAGCAGTAGCAGGTGAAGCACGGTTTTGTTGTTAAGATAGCCCGATGCAAGTTACTGTTTACAGTTTTCTTGTCTTTTATAACATAAAAGATTTTAAAGTATTAATTTTTTTCATATCAGGTATTTAAATGTAACAAGTGCTGAGCCAAATATTTTTTTAACCTGAATTAACTATTTTGGCCTTCTTGTGCATCTCTACTTTCTTTTTTTCTCTTTTCAGGATTCTGTGTTTTTCAGTGATGAAGTCATTACAGATATGTCTTAAATTTTATTCTCTGAGCTTGTTGACTAGACTCCCTCTAGAGTCAGTGAAATAAAATTCCTAAATATGCCTATAATAAGCTGTGCAACTTGAAGTTTACAAGTGTGTCTGTTTTCCTTGAGCATAAGGAGAGGGCAGAGTGATCAGCTCACTTGTTGAAATAAACTTAGTGGTCCTGTGACTATATGGAAGATAAATTCTGCCCTTATTGAATGAATGGGCACCAAACAGAGGTACTGAGGTCAAGCATCTGTGGCTGCCATTGTCTGCCATCTGACAGGTTGGCTTGTGCAATGACTGAGGCACAGGCACTTCTCTCACCTGCCATTTTTTAATAACATTTTGCACATTCTGGTAGAAGTGGAAGTGTAGTTGAATATTTCTTACAAATGGGGCAAGTTTGCTATAGAGAAAACGAAGAACGTGTAACACGCCACAAGTTAACAGCTGCATTGGTAAGTTGAGCTGCATCCGTTAGGCAAGCAAATTAAAACAACATCTTAACCTGGAAAACATTAATAACTATAGTTAAATGTGCCCAATGCAGTCTGTAAGCTGCTCTCATTTTAGAAGCAAAATGCTTTGCTGGTAATTGTAGATTTCCCTTTCTAATATGGGCAGTCAGGAGCAGTCACCGTCCAGTTCAGATGTAGGTGCTTAGTAAATGTGGTCATCAGGCAGCATTTTGCATATGCTTCATGGTTTTATACTTACTTGTTCTCAGTAGCAATTCTGGTTTTCAAAATAACCTGAAGTCAATGCATGAGCTTGTTTGCTGGAGTTACAGTGAAAACAGTAAAATTAATGAGTTAAGCAACAGTGGCATTATAGGCAAATTGTTTTAATCAATAGCCATTTCACATAACAAATGGATTATACTTTTAGGGAAAGTTTAAAAATGTTCCAATTTATCGTATGATTATTACAGAAGATATTTTGGTGTGTTTGCTCAGATTAGCTAGTTCTTGTTTTGTATAGCTTATAATGTGACTTTTCAGGAAGCAAAACATGTTTGGGCATGGTCCTGAGCAACCTGCTCTAGTTGATTTTCCTTTGAGCAGTGGGGTGGACTAAGTGATCTTCCAAGGTCCGTTTCAAGCTCAAGCATTCTGTGATCGACATGGAACTAACCTGGCAAATAAGAAGCTCCACAGTTTTAATCCGTATCAGTTTCCTACTGTAGTTTACCATGTGGCTACATGAAAAAGTAATACAACATGTGACATTCTGTCTTTGGCCACCTTCTTTCTTTGACCTTTTCTGCTTTTCCTTGCCCCTCCTTGCTCCTGCCTTGCCCCTTGACATGAGGAGGGTGTTCTTCTCTATGAGGGTGGTGAGATGCTGGCACAGGTTGCGCAGGGAAGTTGTGGAGGCCCTATCCCTGAAAGTGTTCAATGCCAGGTTGGATGGGGCTCTGAGCAACCTGATCTAGTGGAAAGTGTCCCTGCCCATGCAGGAAGTTTGGATCTAGATGATCATTAAGGTCATTTGAACCCAAACCAATCTATGATTCTCCAATCTGTGAAAGCTGTGAAAGCTATTTAATCTCAACAATGGGCAGCAGTCATCAAGAGCAACTTTCTTGAACAGAATGAGCTACTATATCTTGTTCCATACCACTACTAGTCAAGATGTCTTTTTATTTTGTCACTTGGGAAAGAGGGGGTTTGGGTCTTTTGTCAGTGTGCAGATAGGATTAGGTGAGTTTATTTTGTTTCCTGTTCTTGGAGAGCTAATTTAGTGTGTTGTCTTATGGGAGCAACTGAACAACCTTCATCCAAAGGAAGATCTTAATTTGAATTCAGCACTGTTACTGACAGAATTGTATTATTCCTTTCAACAGCAAATCAACTGTAATACAGCATCTACTCCTGACTTAGAATTCTCTTCAGATTTCACCCTGACCATTACAAGGAGCACAAAGTGCACAGTAAGACAATCCTAGTTTCTTCATATATCACATTAGACTAATAGACAATGTATTAATTAAGCTTAATTTATCATCAGTCCTTGCCTTGAAATGTTAATTTCTGCAGTACAGAGGTGTCAAATGATCCCTTTTTGAAAAGAGAGATGGATGTAAAACCCCAGTAATAAGTCTTAAAGTATGATACAGGTAGATGAGTCTGGGGAAAAGATAAAGGAGCCTTAGCATTGGGGTTGTTCTGTTTTGTTCCAGTTTCTGAAATAAGAGTTTTCTGTTCAGACATGTTGCTGCCATTGTGCTCAAGAATGCTGCAGTCACTGTTCTCAAAAGAGCTCTTCTGAGTTTAATAAAAAGAGTGAAAAACAAAATAGAAACAGCAAATGTGGGCTATAGCTTATGTAATAAATGTTTAGCAGCTCATATGACAAACAGTTTTGCAAACAGGGAAGTTCATTAACCTTGTGTGTGAAGACTGAGGGAGAACAAATACAGCATTAGAATCTGAATCCAATAAACAGTGTTTTTACTGCATCTGTTTTATTCATTCCATGCAGGTTAGTATTTTTACCTCATGTAAATTCATATGAGTTCTATTTAAAAGAGCACTAGTTCTAGAAAGGCTGTGGCATCTGAGAGTTCGAATTACAGCAAACACAAGCTTATTCATCTTATTATTCTGTTCTACATTAAGTTGAGTGAAGAATCTCCCAACAAATCTGAGTCTGCGACCTCACTTCAGTGGTATTTGTCTATCAAACTCTAGTCAATATGAAAAGAAAGAAAAGAAAAAAAAGGTTTTAGTCTGAACTTCGGAATTAAATGAAAACTCAGTACAAGGGCATCCTTGCAACACTTAAAAGTTGTAGCTAGATTGTTGGATATGAATTTACTGAAGTAATACGTTTATTTTGTTGCTTTTTTTCTTGGTCATTCAGTATATGTTACTTATGTGAAAGATGTCAGAATCAGTGATTCTGGGATTAAAGCAAAATCCTGTTTTTCCTGCAAGTGTCCATGCAACTTACAGTGTGTGTTTTGTGTTCCGTTTTTGAAGTATGTCATAGAAGATACCTGAATACTTGTATTTAACATACTTATGTAAAGGTGTGAGTGTCTTCTGAAGATGTTATGAATGTGTTTAAAGCCAAAACAACTTAGGTATTCCAATGAATATTTAGAAGCATTTAGATTGGTACGTATGTGAGGATACCTTTTAACATGGTTGTGCTGCACAGCTTGCTTGCCTTGTTAGAATAAGGAAGAAAATAATAAAATAGAAGGTTTTTTGTAGTGTTAGTGTTAGGAAGGGCAAGTGGGATAAAGATGAGATACAGTTGAGAAGGTCTGATGATGATTTAGTTTAAAGTAATTCACTGAGTTTTTAAACCCTAAGTGTTAAGCAAAGGCAGGTTGACCTAATTTTGACAGATTTTATTATTGCAGTAACATTCTTTTACAATCAACATCCACTATAGATGCATAATAGGTGATTGGTGGTCACAGATCATGTTAATCTTCACAGAATCTTGGCAATTGTTTAATGATTGTGTAGGGTGAAATAGCTTATTTTGGAAACATAATTTTCCTTAGCACTGGACCTTTACAAAAACATCATTTCTGTTCATTGGTGGAACACTATCATTGACTTATCAATCAAAGATGTACACCTGCATTTTATGACTTCCAGGGAGAAGAGGGGGAAGTGGAGGAAGAGCAGTGTTTGTGAAATTTTGCAGTGAATGCAGGTTTTAAAAAATGATCAGAACTCTGTAAAGTATTTTGCACTTCATCATTTAGGTTTATTGACACTTTGAGTGAAATTTCCACTCTTTCTATGATGGATTGTAGAAGTTTAGTTGGGGGTTGACAGTTCATCCATCATATCAGGCTGCCTAACCTTGCAGTAAATGAACAATAAAAGGCCATTATTTATACTGAGAATTTTTAGGAGTTGTTTTAAGATTGCAATTTGTCCTTTGAAAATACTATTTTATGTTTTTCTTGTTTGCATTTGTATATTGTTGTTCTGCTGGCTTTTGATTTTTTTGCACAAAAAGAGAAAGCTGCTTATTATTTCCAGAGTTCTAGCTTTTTGTATTTGGTTTGATTTTTGCATTTTTAAAATATTAACATTTTATAATAATTTTGCTGTATTTAAAAAAAAAATGACGCACACACACAAGAAATTACAACAAAATTGAAATCCATCTTTATATGCTTGTATATATCAGGGGTTTTTAGTTCATAATCTCAAGTTCATTTCAAAGCAGCTTTTTCTTAGTCCTTTCTATGCCGTAAAAGTGTGAAAACAGATTTGATTGTCTTACTCCTGGTGTTGCCATCAATAGCAAAGCTAACTTTGCTAACCAATGTCACCAACAGAACTAGGGCTCCCTGTGTGAAGTGGTCTGCTTCTAAAAGCCAAACAAATGGGAAGCTTAGGTGCACAGTGATACATTAATTGTTTTGTGGATCAGCTTGCAGATCAGCTACTGGTTTGCACTGTGTGATTGGGTTATGGGGAATGGTTTTCCATGCTCCTTCTTTCCAAGACATCGTGTAGGTGCAGAGAATACAGTAGGCATTCTTATGTGGAAATGTGTCAGCAGATGCATGAATCCTATTGCTGAGCTTGTTTTTTCAGAAGCTTAAAACTGATGAGAAGTAATTTAGCAAGTACTCAAAGAGTTTTGGCCTCCTCTAAATTGAGTGTGCGATATGATGCTAATTGTTGAAGAGCTGAACTTAGCTGACAGTTCAAGCCACAGTGGGACCTGTTGCTTCCTCCCATCATCAACCTGTTTGCATGTCTGTGGTAACAGGGCAGTAAGGTGTAAAAGCTGAAAGGAATCAGAGCAATAATGCAGTCTTCTTACCATCTCATTACCACGTTTGCTTTGATTATTACTTGGAACACTCCAGGGCCCCTAAGGCAGGAGAGGCTGCACTTCTCATTTCTCTGGCAAGATGTTAAATACCTCTAAACTCTGACTTTAGTTTTTCCTTAGGTTTTGGGTTTTTCCTTAGGTTTTGGGTTTTGCTTTTGGTTTTGCTTTGCTTTTGGTTTTGCTTTGCTTTTGGTTTTGCTTTGCTTTTGGTTTTGCTTTGCTTTTGGTTTTGCTTTGCTTTTGGTTTTGCTTTGCTTTTGGTTTTGCTTTGCTTTTGGTTTTGCTTTGCTTTTGGTTTTGCTTTGCTTTTGGTTTTGCTTTGCTTTTGGTTTTGCTTTGCTTTTGGTTTTGCTTTGCTTTTGGTTTTGCTTTGCTTTTGGTTTTGCTTTGCTTTTGGTTTTGCTTTGCTTTTGGTTTTGCTTTGCTTTTGGTTTTGCTTTGCTTTTGGTTTTGCTTTGCTTTTGGTTTTGCTTTGCTTTTGGTTTTGCTTTGCTTTTGGTTTTGCTTTGCTTTTGGTTTTGCTTTGCTTTTGGTTTTGCTTTGCTTTTGGTTTTGCTTTGCTTTTGGTTTTGCTTTGCTTTTGGTTTTGCTTTGCTTTTGGTTTTGCTTTGCTTTTGGTTTTGCTTTGCTTTTGGTTTTGCTTTGCTTTTGGTTTTGCTTTGCTTTTGGTTTTGCTTTGCTTTTGGTTTTGCTTTGCTTTTGCGAGCTTTTTTGTTTGTATTTTGTGTGTGTGTTTTTGTGTTTTTTTGGCAGGTTGGTATTTTTGGTTTTGGTTTTGTTTGGGTTTTATTGTTTTGTTTGGGGTGTTTGTGTTGTGTTTTTTTCCTGTAGTAGGTGCTGTTTGAAGTTCTGTGTCTATTTTCAGTCGAAGCAGAGAAACTGACCTCTTCTTGATTTCTTCATACTTTATTTCCGTTGTAGTAAATTGTTCTGGTGAACACTTCTGGAAGGATTCTGTAAAGGCTGCAGAAAAGCTTCACATAGGAGAGAGTTAGAGCTTTCTGTGACAGGAGGGGGCACAAGAACAGCCTCTCAAGCCTAATCCTAACATTTGGGACTTGCCACCCACCTCTTTCACATCCTTTGATTTATGTTTTTTTACCCCTCTCCATTTTGCTTTATCCCTTTTAGTACAAACCTTTTCTTTCCTGAAAACTGATAATGCAAGTGCTGAAATATACTTGTTTCTAGGTATTACCACTGATTTTGCTCTTGGAAGGCCTTCTTGCTGACTTCTTACCTAATTATCTGGTTGTGTGATAGTGACACTTAATTGTACTAGAGCTTGTCTGAAAACCATGCAGTTCAGTAGGCAGGAGGCTGTTTTCTGGTTTTAGAAAAATGGGTTAAGGACATAAATGCCCAGATTTAGTGATGAGCTTTTGCAAAATAGAACTATGCAGTTTCCAAAACCTGAGAGCATAGTTATTCATTCATACATACCTGATTGTCTGTCCTTCCATCCCTACATTATTTGAAATTATTCTCATAGTTTTGTACAACCAAAAATCAAACCCTAGCAGAGTATTATAAAGTCATGCTGGCAACAGAGCCTGATGTCTCTCTGTGGTTGTATCCTGAGTGTATTGCAGATGATCCTGTAATGCATTTTTTGAGTTGTATCCTTAAAAAAATGCTTAATCTTCTGAATCAGTTTTTCTTCCAGATGTTCAAACAGTTGAATTAAGTCTTCAAGAGAAAAACCCTAATAAACCTGAGAAATATGGAAAGATTGAGCAAAAATAAGCAGTTTAAATGTGGCTTTGTATGTATTGCTTAGTCTTTTGGAAGTTATTTTGGGGACGCAGGAGTCAAAAGGTTTTTTCAAAGTACACATTCTTTCTCTTGATTTTTTTCTTTCATTCCTCCTGTGGTTTACCACAAAGTAGTGTCTTTTAGCATTAAGTTAATTTATAATTATTTTAGCTTTCAAAGATAGAAGGTTTTGAAAGCATTAAATCGTTGCATAGCATCATTACATGAAATTTTGTCAAAGCACTTTTAGTACAAATTGACTTGATTTCAGTCTTACAAAGATAATAGCCAAAAAAATAAATTTAATTAGCCTGCAAATGTGCATTTTCCTGGAAAAGGGTTAGGGTTTGTCACTGCCTA